CCAAATTCCATCGTTTCGAACAATTTTTTAGGTTTGTAATTGTTGATTAAGAGGGTTATTTTTTCATTTTTCTTGTTGATTTTGATTTACTTTTTTGTTTTTTTGATAGATTTTGAAGAACTTTTTCATTTTTTTTGGTTAATACCCCTTGTATTTTCTAATATTGTAAAGCATCCCTAAAAATTTAACGGATACACCTTTCATATTTCAAATAGAAAATCTACTTGCAAAAATCATTTCACATATTCTATTTCTTTCAAAATATAATGCAAAAAAACATCTTATTAGCTTCATTATACAAAACTTATCAAATGTTTACTATATATAAATTTTAATTAATGATGGTTATTTAAAAATTATTATATTAAATTATGATTTTGTGGTATAAAAATATAATATGGATGATCAAATTAAATTTACTACAAAGTTTGAACAAGAAGCATATTTGGTATCTATTTTTGAAACCCTAATCCACTAGACCACCACCTTAAATATAATTAAGCTTTAGTTTGACTTCACATAAAAGTCAAATCTCTCCAACTAGACCACCACTAGCCATGCATATTATTTTTTAAAATTGATTGAAATATTCAATCTCTCCAACTAAATCCATTTTTAGTTACTTTTGGAACCAAATTCTCATTTTTACCTAACTACGTATCTACGTAAAACCTATGTTTAGATTAAAAAAAACCTTACCCAAATAGGGATCCTTATGTAAATGTGGATTCTTACGGAAATTCGCATAAAGATATTCTCTTTTTTAAAAAAAATTTGAAATCGAGTTTACATGAATGTTCAAAACATTTATGTAAACTCTAACTAAAATGAAAATTTGATGAAAAAACTAAATAAAAAGTAAATTTGGTTGTAAGAATCGATTATTTGGGTCAATTTCTTTTATTTTGACTTTTAATTTATTATTTTATAAATACTTTGATTTAGAAAAGAAGAACGAGGAACACACACACACATATATATATATATATATATATATGTATATATGTGTGTGTGTGTGTGTGTGTGAAAACATATTGTGAAGACGTGCTATAATGCTCATTGTATCATTAGGTATATACAAAACAAAACTGTGAAAACTTAGAAATATACTTACAAACGCGTCTTTAAGGTGTGTCTGTGATGCCGTTACATAAAACCTATCAATTTTCTTTGATATTTTTATACGTTAGAAAACTAGAATATAAAACAAAAGATATATTAAGGTGTACAATTTTTTTGTTGTTGACTTGATAAATCTATTTAATTGTTGGAAAGATTTTCTGTACCAAGAATCAAGGTATTGTTATTTTTGTATATTAAATTACTTTTAAATAATCATTTATAATTGATCGAATAAATTGTAAGTCTCACTAAACTGTAAAAAATCATGTCTTTATTTATACATATAAAAATTTTCAATTAAATAAAAACTAAACTCATTTAAATACTATTTTTTTACTATAATTTGATACCAAATATTGAATTATTAACCATCACAAATTATTAAATAATTATTAGGAAGTAAGTTAAATAAATTACATTAAATGTTTTATTTTAATCTATGTTTTTGATTTAATAGAATAATACTTATATGTTTTATATCTATGCATAAATCGACACTCTTCGTACATTTAATACAGTTTTTAATATTTATAGAATTTTATTAATAACCTATAAAATTATGATAACTTTAAATTTTTTTGTATTATGTGTTATTTTGATATGATTTTTTTTTCTATCAATGCTTTGGATAATTAATGTATTAATTAAAATATATTTGTTCACCATGTCTTAATTTCATAATGTGATTTTTTTTATGAAACAAAAAGTAAAACTAAAAATTACATTCTAAACTGAATGCGTATGAAACAGATATATGCTAATTAATATATTAAATTCTAAGTTTAGATGAGAAAAAATATATATATAAACAATACTTAATAATTAAGTTTGATCTTTGTTATATTTTATTAAATAAAATCAATAAATAAACTCTATGATTTATCTAATATCACAGTATTTAAAGTATTTAGTTAGAAATTAAATATACTTGACTAACAATTATATATATTATAATAAATTTTGTTGTTGGGACAAAATTAGGCAAAATTACTTAAATAAATTTCTTGGCCTCTTACAGTTTACCCATTGGAAAAATGTTTTATAGGATATTTTAAAAAATGTTTCATATAACATTTTACATGAAATTATTCATGAAAAGATTAATATGATAATTTATTATTTTGATCATATTATGAATTGTTCAATTTCGTTCTAAAAAATAATAATATAAGTTGTGAGTTCATCTAGGATGTGTTCGGTACATGGAACAAAACATGACAGAACGTATTATTCTACATTTGGCGCGGCATATGATATGGGGTGTGACTGGTTGGGACAAAAAAACTTTTTATCTATTCCATCAAAATAGGTGGAGCTAGATGAGATAAATATGTGACAACACTAACAAATTATTAATCTAGTCTTGTTGATATAACCCTAATATAATATTTGGTTTAATGATCACAACTGCTTATCGTCATCCCCGCCACCACAGCTAACCACCTCCATCGACTACCAACCACCGCTACCACCTCCTCCACAACTACCACCCTACATCCATGTCTACCAACGTAGACCACCACCATTGGCCACCATCATCCACCATATTCACGTCCTCCTAAACCACCACTACCACCATCGACGATCGAGCACCACCACGACCGCCCATGACAGTCACTACCACCACTAGTGCTCGCCTTCACCACCATCGGATACCTACCACTGTCCATCACCACCTCTACCTTCACCACATCGACCACCACCTCCTCTACCTATGCCACAACTACTTTCACCACTTTCTTATCCACCATTGACGACCGCCAATTCCACCATCGTCCACCATCTTCTCATCCTCCACTACCACTGTCAGCCACCGACCACCACTGCCTTTACCACCACCGACCACCTTCACCTCCGCCACAATCACCACCAGTAACCACCAACATTTAGGGGTAACTTATAAAGCCCAGTGTTGTCCATTCCTAGTCATACCAAAGAAACAATTTGTCCTTTTAGTCCTGTTTGCATACGAAACACTACCTTAAGTTTGTTTAATTTACTTATTGCACTGTCTTCGTATAAAAGACATAATTATATATTGGTCTTATAAACTTGAAAGTCACATTAAATACTCTTTAAAATGGAGAATCAAAAATCAAAATATCTAAATAAATTATATTCAACTCCAACCAATTATAATTGGTATACAAAATCTTATACTGTATACCATCCAATTTTATTAATTTCATACCAACTTTTTTATTTTCTCTTGGTACAAGGTACATGTTGGTACTAATTTGTACCAGCTTCAAGTTACATACTTGCTATTTTGTTTACATTTTGAGTGACATTTTGAGCTTGCAGACAAGATGTGTCATGTTTAAGGGTTTTTATTAGGAAGGAATAAAACTTGCAAATTGCTTAAACAAAGAAATTCAATGCAAAATATTAAAACAAAAAAAACAAAAAAAGAACAAATAAACAATTATTAAATAAGTCGGTATCATGGTACTACCATGATACACTTAGGGGCAGTTTAGTTCGCATAATATTTTTGGACAAAATGGAATCTGTGAAAAGAATTTGACTTTGAAGGAATGATAATGAAATTTTATCATATTTGACAACTTGTTTGGTTGACACTTAAGGAATTGGAATTTGTCTCTTTGATTCACATAATGTAGCTTGGAAATTGGAATAAAATACTGATAAAAGACCAAAATAACAATTTTTAAACAATGATGGTCGGTGGTTGTTCAGGACAGTGATGGTCAATGGTAGATCAGTGGTGGTCGGCGGGTTCAGATCGGTGGTGGTTCAGAATGGTGGTGGTCGAAAGTGGTTCAGAATGGTGGTTCGAATTGGTGGTGGTCGGCATTGGTTAAGAACGGTGGTGGTCAACGGTGGTTCAGGACAATGGTGGTCGACGGTGGTTCAAAAAGGTGGTTTAGGATGGTGGTCAGATCGATGGTGGTTGGTGGTGGTTCAAAACGGTGATGGTTAGCGGTGGCTAAAGATGATGGTTCAAATAAATGGTGGTCATTGTGGTTGGCAGTGGTTCAAAAGGGTGGTGGTCGGCGGTAGTGATCAGTGGTTGTTCAGATTAGCGGTGGTTGGCAGTGGTTCAGATTAACAGTTGTTCAGACAGGTTTTGATCGAAGGTGATTCAGATTGGTGATGGTCAACAGTGGTGATCGACGTTGGTTCAGATCAAATATGAAATATGAGGATAATTTTGTCTTTTTGAGAAAATGGGATGGAAATAATTGAATTTCCTCTCAATTGTGATAGAATGACCAAATCCATGAATAGTGGAATGTGTGTAATTCAATTCCCTTCTATAGGTAAATCAAATGCCTGAATGAAATTTGATCAATGAAATTGATCATTCTAATTCCTTCGAATTCCATCGGAATCCTACAACACAAACGTCCCCTAATAGTTTAGATCCACTTTCAACCATTCATAGTTAGAGGGGTTTTTTTCCCGATAATCATTAACCATAGAAACTCAAATTTAAGTTCGGATAAATTATTGTAGCCTCTCGATTTTTTGTAGACGATGTTATGTGATGAAACATATCAAAGTCGTAAATTTGTTTCCAACATGACGACAATTGAGATATTGACTTCTGTGAAGTATTTTAATTTTCATTTATTAAAAAAAAAAAAAAAAAATATCTTGACTTTTGTAATCGATTTCATACCTATTTCAAGCTTGGAGGGAAGTTGGCCATGCAGACCGCATGTCTTGAATATAAATCTGTTTTCCTAAATTTCCTTAAATATATGTTTTTATTTTATTTATTATTAAATTATTTAATTTATCTTTTTGTTTTCGGTCCTCAAAAATAAAGAAAAGTAGTAGCAAATTTTCCAATCTCTGTGTCTCTCGAGTACTATAAATACATGAGAAGGTTACATGAAATCTTCACCATGCACCAACACATTTGATCCTTTATTTTGAAGTAGTTTCATCAGCTGCCATGGCTTCTTCACCTTCTTTCCTCCCACTCATATGTTGCTTGTTCTTATTCAGTGCATCAATGGCTTCAGCTCAATTGACTGCTAACTTCTATAGCCAAACTTGCCCAACTGCTATGTCGATCATTCGAGGTGCTGTTAGCACTGCAATCTCTAGAGAACGTCGCATGGGTGCATCCTTACTTCGTCTTCATTTTCATGATTGTTTTGTTAACGTAAGTTGATCCTCAATTTGACTGCCACTTCATCAACTCCTTTGGAATTTCTTTAAACAAGTATTTGTTGTTAAAATATGTGGAATTCCTTTTGAAACGTTTTTTAAACCAGCTCTGGCAAAGAGAGATTCATAAAAACGTATTTTCATGTTCTTTTTCATATATTATTGAAGCCCAATAAATATTAAAAACACGTGAAAACTAACCGAAACCATCCAATGAGCTTGATTTGAAATTATGATTCAGATATTTTGTTCATGTGTGTATGAGTGTGCTTCATTTTTGAACGTATTTTCGTGTTTTTTTCCACATGGAAAATAATCCCGAACATTTCATATACGAAACAATACTATATGAATAAGTACCGCATTTTTACATATGAAACAATATGGTCCCCGTCTAACCGACTCAAACTAGCCCTGTCACGAAGGGTAGACGGTGTTTCTTTTAATCTTATTTTGAACTTGGGTATGTTAATTTTGCAGTAATTTTTTATTATTTTTTATTATTATTTTGATGTGTTCGATGTACGGAAATAGGGTTGTGATGCATCAGTTCTGCTGGATGATTCTGCCACCATAACTGGGGAGAAAACAGCACGTCCAAATGTGAATTCAATAAGAGGGTTTGAAGTCGTTGATACCATAAAATCTCAGTTGGAAAGAGCATGCCCCGGCGTTGTCTCTTGTGCCGATCTCCTAACTGTTGCCGCCCGAGATGCTACTGTCGCTGTAAGCTCAACATAAATACAAACACTACATATTCTTGACAAGATATATAAACCAAGTTTTTGTTCATTTTCTTATGAACGTGATCCTTTAAATCTTCAGCTTGGTGGGCAAACATGGAATGTGGTTCTTGGAAGAAGGGACTCGACCACTGCGAGTTTAGCTGCGGCTAATTCCGATCTCCCGTCCCCCTTTTTGGATCTCCCCCAGCTAATCTCTGAATTTGGAAACAAAGGTTTCTCTCCACAAGAAATGGTTGCTCTTACTGGTATGTGCACACGAAGAAACTGTTAGAATATTTTGTTCTACAAGCCTACACCAATTTTCACTGATTGTTGTATTATATGTGATACAGGAGCTCATGAGATCGGGCAAGCTAGGTGTGGAGTTTTTAAAGAGCGAATCTACAATGAAACCAACATTGATCCATCTTTTGCATTAGCCATGCAAAGAAATTGCCCTAGAACCGGTGGTGATGGCAATCTGGCTCCTCTTGATAGCACCACTCCAACCGTTTTCGACAACGCTTTCTTCAGAAACTTGGTTAACCGAAGGGGTCTTCTTCATTCCGATCAACAAATCTACAGTGGAGGTTCCACAAACGCTCAGGTCGACCGATATAGGCTCAACTCGGCTGCTTTCTTTACGGACTTCGGCAATGCGATGGTGAAGATGGGAAACCTTAGCCCTCTCACTGGTACTAATGGCCAGATTAGGACCAACTGCAGGAGGCCAAATTAAGTTCAGCCATCAAGAATTGTGTTCCATCGATATAAATTGTATTTTCCCTGGATAACTTGTAAAATTTTTATTTGCTTTTATTAGAATATTATGTAAGTCTTGATTCTCTATAATAATAAATGTTCTCATTTTTTGTTCGTACTTCCTCTCTTCCCAGTTATATATAGTAACAACTAACTTGCTACCAACATCATGCGTTTATCTCTGTCGACCTCAAAATATCCTATCTTAAAGTGTATAATCTTATATTCTATCTTTCGTTATCTTAGAAAAACGTTAGTTTGAATCTAGACATCCTAAATCAATACCTAAATCTCTTAAACTTATGTTCTTATACCAACTTTTCACACCCGAAAAACTGGAAAAAAACGACTAATTAAATTTTTTATAATACATCAATAAATTACAAACCAAATTCTTTCACGAAGTCTAGGTTGTTACAAACACTAACGAAATCTCTCTCTCTTAAACAATAAGGAGAAACGTCCCAATGAGTCAAGGTAGTGTTTGGTTCATAAAATGTTTTTGGATGAAATGAAATTTGTGAGAAGAATTTAATTTTGAAGGAATTAGAATGAAATGTTATCAGGTTTGATCATCTATTTGGTGGTTGACAGATATTGAAATAGAATTTGTTAATGAATTCAAATCTGTCTGTTTGGTTCACAGAATGTAGTTTTGTAATTGGAATGAAATATTGGTAAATGACCCAAAATACCATTTTTTGAAAATTTTAAATATTTTTAAAACTAAAAATACTTTAGTAAATTAATTAGTTAATGTGTAAAACAATATAAAATAAACAACCCAAATATAACCATAAACTAAACGACTTTACTAAATCGATATTAAAATTGTATCAAATAGCTAATTCTTTATCATGTAAAATAGTTAATTCAGTGGTGATTGGAGGTGGTTTAGATCGGCGTTGGTCGACCGTGGTTCAGATTGACGGTGGTCGGCGATGGTTTAGTTGGTGGTGGTTGGCAGTGATTCAGATCGGTAGTGGTCTATGGTGGTTCAGATGGTGATGGTCGGCGGTGGTTCAGATCGGTGGTGGTCCCTGGTGGTTCCGATCGGTGGTGGTCCATGGTGGTTCAGATGGTGTTGGTCGGCAATGGTTCAGACGGGTGGTGGTCCGTGGTGGTTCAGATGGCGGTAGTCGAAAGTGGTTCAAATCGACGGTGGTTCAGATAGGGTGGTTTAGATTAGCAGTGGTCGATTATGGTTCAGATCGGTGGTGGTCTGTAGTTGTTCAGATGACAGTGGTCGATAGTGTTTTAGACCAGAGGTGGTCCACGGTAATTCAGATGGTGATCGGCCGTGGTTTAGATCAACGATGGTTCAGATCGGTGGTGGTATACGATGGTTCAGATTGGTGGTGGTAGGGGTGTTCGTGGTCTGGTTTAGGCGGTTTAACCCCTCAAACCATAAACTAAACCGTAATGGCGGATTATAAAATTTTCAAACCGAGCGGTTTGACATCAAGTGCCAAGACCGGTCAAACCAGACCACGAAAAGGCGGTCTGGTCTGACCGGTTTAGGCGGTTTAGRCCTTTAATGGACTTTAAATATTAAACTTAAAAAACATATATAATTTAAAATTTTAGATTAAATATCCATTTTAACAAAACAAAATATGTAAACAAATAAATGTAATAATTAAGCAGCTCTTGAGTACAAAGTCGAAGCAATCCAAAGTACAAATAAACAAATATATAACATGTTAGAAAACAAACAAATTAACAAAGTTACAACTCTACCGTGAGTATTGAGTAACAAAATCTATGACTTCACAACCTTCAATGGTTAATTTCGTGAGTCTTGAGTTCTTAACCAAACAAAATAGAAGACAAATATAAGTTGGTTGAATCACTTGGTTGATGTCTTAATAATGTGTGCCGAAATCAAACTACGGATTAGAAAGATCAATAGATTAATGGAGTTCTTGAGGGATTTCAAAATTTGGAGACCGTCAATATCAAATGTGTCGATATGTTCAATGGTTTAATGGTTTTAGTCGTCGATTTTGATTATGTTAGATTGTTAGGCTTACGGATATATTTGGGTCATAGTCAATAAGTTAAAAAAAGTTGGGCTTGTTAATATTAATATATATATATATATATATATATATTGGCGGTTCGTTTGGTCCAAACCGTCCAAAAAAGGTTCCAAACTGCAGACCGGACCGGACCGCCTGGTTTTGCTATTTTCCAAACCAGACAGGACCGCTAGACCGCCCAAACCGCCAAAAACGGTTCGGTTTGACTTGGTTCAATCGGTTTGAGCGATCCATCGGTTTTTTTGAACACCCCTAGGTGGTGGTTCAGATCGACGGTGGTCGGCGGTGGTTCAGATCATGATGGTCGACATTGGTTCAGATGACGATGATCGGTGGTGGCTCAGATCGCGATGGTCCGCGGTGGTTTAGATGGCGATGGTCATATTGAGTTTCATGATATTATTGTATATTGGGTTAAGGACATATTTGGTATTATGAATGGTCGGAGGTGTTCGCCGATGGTCATATTGGGTTTTATGAATATTGGGTTAAGTGCTTATTTGTTATTATGAAAATAGAGAATTTCATTCCATCAAAATACCATGTAGTTTGCTAACAAAATGTTAAATTCCTTTATTTGTGAAATTTATAGGATTTCGAATATTTCTTTCGTGAAAAAAATGAACCAAACGAGGGAATGAAATTTGGTCAATGAAATTCAACATTCCAATTCTATCAGATACTTCCAAAATCTGCGAACCAAACGCCCCCTAAGTCTTTAACAAACCCCTAATTACCACTTAACTCTTCTCAAGTGTCGTAGTATCGCCCCACAAGAACCTGATGCACATGCAGAGAAGAAAAATTGTTAGGGTTAAATTCTAATGAGTCCAAGCAATTTTCATTTTTAATATAAAACGATAAAACAAAAAGAATGCTATTTTGATCACGATTCTTCTACTTAAAACATATTTACCGTAAAAGAAACATCTTTGCAAAATCCATCTTTCTTGTAATGAAAACTCATTATCAAAACAATCATTTGATTATGAAACCCAAACCTAAACCCAAATACTCACCCAAAACATGATTACATCATAATACTCAATACCGAATAATGATATCTATAGGTGTTCGATCAACAGTGGATTGTACCTATAATCCATGGAATTTGATTATATCTATAGGTGTTCGATCAAAACATGATTACATCATAATACTCCAACTTGTCCTTCCTACCATCCATTTAAGTTGCATGTCCCTCGATAATGCACCTCTACACTCTCAACCTATACATGTCTTTAAGGAACCTCAAAAACTATATCTTGTCCTATGCCACCATTTGAATTGATATCCCATATAGAGTCACCTCTTACTCACACAACAACATCTGAATTGAAACTTGATGCCCTTTGACCGTCTACTTCTAACATATCTATTGGATCAAACGGTATAAACACTACTTAAACAATGTCGATCATATTTGGTAAGAGATTCCTAGCATCTTCGACATTATAATTGTATCACTTTGCTATCATACCATGAAACTACTACTTATAAAAGGCTTATTTTTACCCTCTTTGGTAGAAAAGCAATGTTTGGGGAACTACAAGCATTAGATAACCACAAACATAGGCATTCGTCCCACTTTCGAAAGATAAGTTGACCATCAATTCACTACTAAAAAAATGGGTTATCACCGACGGATTTTTCTGGCGGAATTTCCGTCGGAAATATTACCGGCAGATCCCAAAAAAGTAAAAAAAAGTCAACTTTTATCCATACCCGCCACAGATCCCCCACAAATCCCCCACTGAATTTTTTGAAAAAAAAAATTAAAATTATTTAAAACGGATTTGTGACGGATTTCCGACAGATTTCCAACGGACTTTTTACTTATTCAAAACCGTCACAAATTAATCCGTCGCAAAATTTGTCTAATTTATTTAAATAAATTAATTAGCGTTAATCAAAAACATTTTCCGACAGAAATAATAAATAAAAATTAAATTTTAAACCTTCATATATATATATATATATATATATATTTATACTCTATATATATCATGTAGGAAAAAAAAAACATTTTTTCCTTTTAAAATTTCCGACGGATTTTGCCGTCGGAAAAACCAGATTTTTTTAGTAGTGATTGGATTACATGATGAAGACCAAGTCGATTGGGTTAAATGACATGAATAAAGCCGTCTAGTGAACAAGGGATTTAATCAGGAGTACAACATTAAGGGCCCGTTTACCTAAATGCATACCCGGTAAGCGTTTAACTTTAGGAGTCAACACTATAATTTATTTTACGGTAAGATTGTAGTACATCAAAATGGTATCGTATGCAACAATTTACCCGGTAAGCACTTACCCGGGTAAGAATCGTCACACTCACTTACCAAGTAAGACTCTCCATCTTTATCGTTGCTCTTACCGGGTAAGATTTTTGACCTTTGCCATGTTCATCCGGTAAGGAAAATTACCCGCTAAACACTTACTGGGTAAGTGTTTAGTAAACGGCCCAACAATCTTTTGTCCTAATTGTTGAGGTTAATTTTGTGTAAAGTCTTCTTGCCTTGGCGGCAAATAATAAGAGAAAAATATATTAGATGGACAAAAAAAAAACCTTTCTCAATTGTGTGTTATCTAAGGTAAAGGTAATAATGTCTTAAAAGTTATTAAACACCTTATACCGTCTCAAAGAAGTTCCATACTTTAGGGTGTCTATCTTGTATATAAATCTATAGGTATACATTATTTTCTTTTCTTCTTGTTCCATGAAATTGACTTTTCAAGGGATATAGTAAAATCTATTGTCATTAACATTTGTCTTCAATAGTTGTTCGTCGATTCCCATCTCCCATCCTCTCTAAAACTAACAACTTACTTTGAACGCATACGTACGGATGACCGATCATTGAGATTGCTTGAGATTTACAGAAAAGCTTCCTTGACCAATTGGGTAGATCAAGAAAACAGCAGTCGCAATTGTAAAAGGAGCTGAATATGCAACAATAATCCAAGGTCGCAGACCCAGATGGAAACTAAGTTCCCACTCATGACCCATGTAACAAGCTACACCAAGTAAGAAGTGTAGAACAATTAATTCTCCGTGTTGTAAGAAAAATCTCTA